AATTGTCCTTCAAAATTTATGTTTGATTAAAATATGCTAGTTAGTATATTAATGCAAGTTCAAAATAATCCAAATAGTGAGAAATAAAATTATATCCCTAGTAAATAAATAAATAAATACTTAGCATATTTTCTTTTTTATAAATAAATATTTAATTTTATTTTACAATATAGGTAGACAAATCAAATAATTTTTTGTAAACTTTTTCATATAAAAATATTTCTCAACATATATTTCTTTTAAAAAGTTAGAGTGTGAACTAGTTTTGAGGGCATTTTTGTAAACAAACAATTCTTTTAAAAATTGTGCAATGTTTTAATACATCAAACCAAACAATGGATAAGTAATATGTCAGCATAACTAATACCAGCATAACTAATGCAAGCATAACTAATACCAGCATTACTAATACACCCTATTCAACATTATTCTTATGCGCCCTACCAAACCACTCCTTAGATGCTTAAATTACCAAAACTGATCTTGAGCACGAAGACTAGAGATCTGTATTATCTTACTTACGATTTTCAATGATTTTGTAAAGTTTTTCTTGGGGGAAATTTCCAGCGAAACTCGCAGGAGCTATCCTTCGAATATGCGCTGGTTAATCTGTTTACTGTGCAATAGCTTCCAAACTATATAGGAGATGTAAATCGCACTAGACAAGCCCGATGCAATGAACTCTGTTTTTATAAAGTTAAACTAAATAAATTAAAATAGTAGTAAGGGTAAATTTTTACTAGTTTGTGCCAGCAAGGTCTAACGGTAAAAATAACGTAAATGCACAAAACCAACTAGGAATCTGCTGAGTGCTGAGAATAAACTACAGCCTATAAGCACAGTCATATATATATATATATATATCTCGATTGTGCACACAAGTTTTTTGCTGAGTATAAAATAACAAAGATTCAGTGCAACGGTTAAGATGGGGAAAAATTGACTAGACACCATCACTACTACAACTAACTCGCCAATTTTGATAGGAAGAGATGTTCGTTTGGCTTCTGTATTCTGGAGTCTAATAAGTACGTACCTTGCGTACGAGAGGAAAAGCAAAAACAAACGTGAGAATATTAAAATTGTTACTTAAACTCACGTTAAAGTATCTGGCCGAAGAAGAAAGACATAAAACTTTAGCGTTTACTACATCAATTAATTATCTCGTTTCGTGTTACATTAGTTCTTCTTTTGTCGAATTATGTTCATGTTGAGTCTCGTTGTGTTTCAAATTGACAAATTCATATGAATAGAGAAATGAATATTGCTCCTTTATTAAAAAAAATTACACCATTGCTATTAGCAATCACAAGAGTTGTTTATCCGCAAAACGGTATAGTTGAGTTTGTTACGTGGTTTATAGACAAGCGAACCGATTTGATCCAAAAATGATAAATAAATAAGATTAAAAACAAGACTTAGCGTAAAAAAACACAAGAAATAGCAGATCTGGCTTCGGGAGCGATGCCTCCTAGGGACAGAAATAATAGCAATATAAAGCAGAAAGTAAAGTTGTATTGTTTAGCTTGAGAGTAAAATGTAGCATAAGTTTTGCCAAAGATTTCGTCTCCCGCAATGATTGTTGAAGTCACTATTTATAGTTATACCTAGAAAACAAGATCTTAGGATCAAGCTCTTATTAAATGAAAATAAAGGAGGGCATTGATGAATGTGTAACGGCAGGCCATGAATGCAAAAATTCTCTGCAATTGCTGCCTATTGAATATTCTTCATTAAATGTCGTCTGGTGACAAACATTCGACCCGCTCCCGTTGATTATGCTTCCTTCGGGGTCAATACGATACCAACTGCAACTGTTGTCCCCTATCTTTTAATTCTTGCTCGATCTGTCTTCCGTCTGTTTCTGGTTCCACATGTCACGCTATTATTTGGTCATTTAATATTAACCAATTTTACCTTATACAAGAGTAATTTTTTTCTTCAGCTGTTTCAATAGATTTTAAGAATATATAATTATAAAAATTATGATTCATAATATTCGTATGTAACTTTTAAATGCATAAATTTTGTTTTTAAAGAAGTGAAGGGGTTAATGTCTCAATTCAGACTGTTCTTTTTTTCTTTTCTTTTTTTTTTTTTTTTTTTTTTTTTTTTTTTTTTTTACAGTTTGATTGGTGTGCTTTGGTATTACACCGCAGAAGGATATGGTGAAAATTTGAAATAATAAAAATTTCTTCGCTTTCAATTAGAGTTTCGGATTTGACTATAGTTATCTTTGGTAAGAAGAGGTAAAATTCTATTGTGGATTCTTATGGCGTGAATCTAAATTAGTCGAAGCACTATGTAAGAAAAGAGAAAAAAACCTCATTCTTTTCTAAACGAAAATAGAGTAAGAGCCTCTTTGGAAAGCCATCTTAGAAATGGATTTGGGCGTAATTGAGTGTAATTACACAGTTTGACATGTTTATTTGGCCAAGTAATTACTTGGTAAGTATGAAATTGGGTGTAATTACACTCTCCAATTCTCAAGGGGAGGTGAAAATTGATGGTAATTACACTGTGTAATTACAATGTTGCTTTTTAGTTTCTTTCCTTTTGTTTTATTTTAATTTATTTTCTTTATAACTTTTTATTTCTATTATTTTAATTTTTTAATTTCTTTTGAAATTTTAAAATATATTTTCTTTGTACATTATTTATCTTTTGTTTCTCTATCTTTATTACTTCTTGTGATTCCATGTAATTGCTTATATATATATATTTTTTTGAAACTACACCTCCTAATATTAGAAATAATGAGTCATTAACAAACTTGGCATATAATGAATGATGCAATTAAAGTGGAATTTCGTTGTTGAATGTGATTATAAACTTGTCATGTTTCCTAATCTTAAGTTACAGTGAAACTTACTATATTAAGTCGGAATTTGACATATGTTAAACTATTTTTTTTTTTGAATTTTGAAATTGTGTTATATTCATGGTTCTAATTTACTTGTTTTAATAGTATTGGCTCACATTGCATGTTGTTCATTTTTTAGTTAGAATTTATAGATTAGTTTTGTGAAATATTTGAGTAATGTTCTGACATTATATCTATAAATTAATTTATTTTATCAAACATGAATTCCATGATGTTCTTACAAAACGTATATTTTTTTATTTTTGTAAGTATCTAAACTAAATATTATTAATTTAAAAAATATATATAAATTACAGTATTAATTATAAATATACGATTACTAAATTAATGTATATTCACGAAAAAATATACATTATATTAACTTTTAAGTTTTGATAATTATTTAATTTAAAATTTAATCTAACTGTGTAATTACACTTGTGCAACCAAACAGTAAACTTGTAATTACACTATGACAAACAAACAGGTTATCGTAATTACACAACTGTGTAATTACCTCTATTTTAAAAGGTAGAATTGGGACTCGCCCTAGGGCAGTGCACTCGTAAAACGCCCCTGGGCTTATATGTGGGGTTTAGTTCCGTGAGACTTACGCAACGCCTTACGTATTGGGCTCGCCTCATAGAACTTTATGCAATTATATGCAACTAACCTTGTAAATCCTCAAATTTTCTTAATAAATCGTTAACTATTCAAAATTACTTTTTTCTTAATCATAAATCATTAACATCAAGTCTTAGGCTAATTTTCAGCAAGTAGGAGCAGTAAAGACAAAGTAACAAGGAAATGAGCTAAACTTGGATATTTCCTTTTGCCCATTGTTCTTTACTACAAGCAAGAAGCAACTAAAAGTTTTCTTTTTTCTTTTTGGAAATCTTTAGCTTATTTTATATAAATATAAATATATATACACACACATATTCTTGCATGCATGCATCAATTTCCGAGATAACTTTATGTATGCGTCTTGCTAGGAAATTGAATTCTTGACCATCCAAGTAGTAAGTTGTTTTCAAACCCAATAAATTAAAGATTAAAAAAAGACTCTTCAGGAATAAATTATACTACTACTGATTTTATTAAATATTCTTTAATAAAAGAACCAATTAAATTTTGACATAAGAAAAAAGCGACCCCACCTTGAGAAGGAAAAAAAATCAAAAGAGAAATGATTTATTACATCTGATTTTCTCCCACTTTGACTAGTAAGCATACGCAAGTAGTAGTACTCGAGTTTGAGTCAAAGAAGAGGGGCTAGTTGAGTTTTATCCCAAAATACTACTATATCTTTTTGTTAGGACCGAAAAGTTTTAGGTGTCACGCGAAATCTTACAAAACAAACCTTCAGCCACGATAAATCAGACAACAAAAAAGAAATATATCAAAAGAGACACAAACAATATTTAACGTGATTTGGCCAATTGATCTACATTCACGGACGGAGATGAGCAATTCACTATATAAAAAGAGAGTATAAAATATCGAGAGAACAACCTCACGAAGAGACAAACACAAGTGACACACTAACACTTGTCCCATAACGTTCTCCCTTTAAACACGACTCTCAAACCACATATGGCTACATTGTGGATGCTGCTGAATGAAAAGGACGAATCTTCAATTTATAAAACTCAAAACTTTTTCCCACAAGAAAAGAGACTAGCCAAATATTGAAAAAGTATACTTTCCCTCAAGTAAAAGAAAAACTCAATTATGGTAAATATGTTGTCCTTTCCTTCACGGGATAGGAAAACCAATTATGATAAAAAAAAAATCTGGACAAACACCTAACATCTTTGGCATATCCATTAAGGAAATATGAACTCCTAAAGAAAAAAAGATTATTCACTAAATTAATCTTAATAATTATTACCTTGACATATTGGAATATGTAAATAAGGGCAAATTAGAAAAAATAAAATTAATACATTCTTGATTATGTAAATGGACACCTATTTTGGACCAAACTAAATGGACCGGAGGTATAATAAACAAAGGAAAATAGGTGTTGCTACACTTATTACAAAGCTTGTGGTCACCCCAGACATTAAATAGGTGTATATCAGTGGTGTGAATGTGATATCTGAAGTTTTTCATCCAATATAGTCTAAGATAACATATTTATATACCCATATGACTGAGATGAAGGGGTCGAAGTTTGTACTCACTATATAGACAAGTACAGAAGCTAAGGACGACAAATATCCTGTAAACATACAACACGGTCACTTAATTTTAACAAGAACAAAGATCCATAAATCTTTATCTGCTTTTGTTTCTTCTAGAATTGTCATTCTTGATATGAACAAAGATCCATGAATGATAGTGTTGTATGGATATGCTCCATTTGAAGGACTGAAGCTGGACCAACAAGAAGATGGATATCCCAACTTAGGAGACTTTCTAGTAAATGGAGCAGCAACAATAAACACTGAGAAGACATGTACAATGAAGAGATACACAGAGTTGTACTTGCATGTTTTATTAATAAAATAATCTTTCTTTACATTTGTCTTGTGATGATTGCAGTTATTAATTTCTGTATACTAAATTTGCCGTGAATAGGAAGCTCATCAAACTAATATGATTGGTGGAATATGCCAAAATGCCTATGATTCGAGTGAAATGGAAAATGCTATCTAAACATATGTCTACCACTGGTACAGTTCAGCACTACCCAATTTTTAATACTTGAGCATTCTCTCTTCAGAAATGGAACTTCTATATTTCCTCGGTTATATTTTGTTTAAGTCTAGCTTTCACCAAGATGCAAATGAAACATTAGAAATCCAACAACAAGAGATTTACTCATACACACCACAACAAGAGAATAGGAACTCGTAACGGAGGAAATCAAGTAAACAGGCACATTGGAACATTATGGTTATGAGGCCCTTAGCTTTCCCTTCAGTATTGCAAAGCAGACTCTTGATATCATATTGAGCCAATTCTTCGAGTCCATTAGAATGTGAAGTAGGCATTCCTCCAAGAACGGTTGACAATTAAAGAGCCCAAGATTCCCCAAAATGCAACAAAGAAACCCAACACCATGGATATATAAAACTCTAGAGATGGAAAATCCTCACCATCATCATCATGTTCTTGGGGATTCATGTTACTGCTATGATCGATACGTGGACTAGGAGGTGCATATCCGGGACATTCTTGGAGAGGAGGGCCGCAGAGTTGAGCATTACCACTATATGATGAACTCTCAAAACTTTGCAGTTGAGTGCTTGATGGAATTCTTCCTGATAAGTGGTTGTTTGACAAGTCCAACACACTAAGAAAAGTCAAATTAGCAAGGCCCTTAGGGATCATACCAGAAAGCTGGTTTCTTGAAATGTCAAGTGACTCCAACATCTTCATTTGACCTATTCCTTCAGTGATACTTCCATTCAGATCATTTCTTGAAAGGTTCAAAGATTTCAATCCTCTCATTTCAGCTATCTCTCTAGGAATACCTCCGACCAATTTATTACTTGAAAGATCAATAGTCTTCAGATATAATAAAGGATTCTTGTACTCGGCCTCCTGGTTTTTCCATTGAACCAATAAATTGCCTATGTACAAGTATGAACGAGGCATATAGTCAAACTGGACTAAAAAATCCATCGACTCACCAGAACCATTTTCTTGATGCAATATAGTAAAATTGTTGAAGCATTGTGGAATTTTCCCAGATAATCCATTTGCTGAAAGGTCCAGTATCTGAAGAAATTGAAGCTGACAAATGATCGATGGAATGCTACCATAGAATTTGTTGAACCGTAGGCTTAGAATACGCAAGTTGAGTAGATCAGTACCTATCCATGCTGGGATTCTTCCTGTCAACTTATTCCCTCCAAGATCCAAGATTTGCAATAATTGACACTGTGAGAAAGAAGGCAACATCCCGCTAAAACTGTTCTGGCGTATGTATAATGCCTTCAAATTTTCCAAGGAACTTAATGACTGTGGAAGTTTTCCAGAGAAATTGTTATAGGCTAGATTAAGAACAGCTAGATTACTCATATTCATCCAACAATCAGGAAGTTCTCCTGAAAATTGGTTGTGTGACAAGTCAAGGGAAGTGGCACCTCCTGTTGTACTTTTACAAATGGAAGAAGTGGATCCGGAAAACTTATTTTTATGTAGGTAAAATATTCGCACATTGGTAGGAACTTGTGGCAAAGGTCCTGAAAAGTTGTTAGAACTTAAATCTATAACCATGTAGTCTTGTTTATTCACTATCAACTCAGAAACTCTTCCACTGATCTGGTTGTTAGAGAGATTCAGAATCTTTAAATTGAGAGGAAGATCAGAGAACCAACTTGGTAGCGCATCTGATAGATTTGCAAGCGAGATATCAAGAACAGTATAGTTGTTTTGACTTTGAAGCCACTTGGGGAAAGAAGGTCCCAAATTGCAAGATGGAAGGTTTATAATTTGAAGCTGAAAAGGAGGAAGCCAATCGAAGCTCGTCTTCAAAGCCAAAGAGTTGAATGATAAGTCCAAATCCACTAAACTGGAGAGGTTTGAAAGGTGGGACTCAGTGATTGTACCCTTCAGGACATTGTAAGAGGCATCAAGACTTTCCAAGTTTGATAGTTGTCCCATGCTTTCTGGTAATCCTTCCAGTCTATTGGACGAGACGTCCAAAATTCTAAGCTGTGAAAGTTTTCCAATACTTTGTGGTATCCTCCCTTGAAATTGATTAGATCCAAGATGCAACTCTCTCAATGATGGAAACAATGCTAAATCTGGTAATGGCCCTCTCATTTGGTTATCAGACAAGTCTAGATACTCAAGACTCGAAACTTGTCCAAATCTTTCCATGAAAAAACCATTCAGCACATTGTTCTGCAGGTATAATCTCTTTAAGGCTGAAAATCTTGTGACATTAACCAATGAACCAAACATTGAGTTGTCGTTCAACCCCAAAACCTCAAGTGTTTTCCTACTGCCTGATAACCTGAGAAACAACTCAGGAAGCCATTGGTATGTCCGAGTGTTAGATATGTCCAGATAACGTAAACGTGTCAAATTCCCAAAAGAACTGGGAACCCCAACACCTTTAAGATTAAATTGATCAGCAAGATTAAGATGCTCAAGATACATCAAGCTCCCAAAGCGATCATCAATTGGACCGTCCAGCTGATTATTGGAGAGGTCTATGCTAGTTAAGCTTGTGCTAAAATTGAATAACCAGCTATATTCAGCTGAAGAAGAAAACTCATTACAACATAAATGAAGAACAGAAAGAGAGATCAAAGAAGAATTGGCTAAATCAGCTGGAGATGGAACGAATTTAGAGAGACCACAAACACTCAAGTCGAGTTCTTTCAGTGAAGGTACCTTTGTTATCTCTTGAAACCAATTGCTTGCTTGGAAGTCGTTACCACCGAGACGCAAGAACTCTAGCGAGGAAAGATGAGAAAGCCACCCAAGGTCCTTTACTATTAGCTGATTATTGTTCCCAAGATCAAGAATCCTCAAAGAAGTTAGATTCATTAACTGTGTAGGAATTACACCAGAAAAATCTGAAGATGAGAGGTTCAGATACTCTAGTCTTTTAAGAGAGGATATGAATCTTGGTATTTCACTTCTGTCAAATCCATTTACACTGAGGTCCAAGTAATTCAGATGCTGCAACTCAAGTAGAGAAGGACTAAGTTTACCTGTCAATATTGGAGCAAAACAAGCATGGCCTGGACATGAAACCTCACTGTGAAGATCAAGAACAGTTACATGACCACTTCTTTTGTCACATTCTATACCCTTCCATTTACAGCATTCTTTTTTATCTTCATCATTACCCCATGTTGATAATCGATCAAAATCATCAATAAGGCCTCTTTTGAACTCAAGAAGAGCATCTCTCTCCTTTTCTATACACATGGTTTTGTTAACTTCTCTTGAAGTTAATCCAAAAGCTGTGTGTAAGAGCAGTAAAGACCAAGTAACAAGGAAAGGATCTAATCTTGGATATTTCCTTTTATCCATTGTTTTTTACTTGAAGCTATGAGCATGAAGCAACTAAGTTCTTTATATTTCTGAAATTCTTAGCCTATTTCAAAGACATTTGTCTATACTTGTATTTGGCTAATTAGGAAACACAATGCTTGACTATCCAAGATTTTAAGTTCTTTTCAGACCCAACTAAAAATATAAGAAAAAGACTTGCTAGCAATAAATTTTACACATGTTAATTATACAACCAACTTAAGTTTGACATCAAAGCCAAGTGACCCCACTTTGAGAAGAAAAAGATTAACAAAAATTATTCTTTACATCCAATTTTCTTGCACTTTGACTAGTAGCACAAACAAGATCATGTAGTCAAAGAAGACGGAGTATGACTTTTATCCAAAATACTAATAGCTTGTTTGGATGGTTAATACCCATTGTATCCTATTGTATTGTTACTTTAAATACAATGTTTGTTTTGATTGTTACTTAAATTTTATTGTATCGT